CCCGAGCCAACAACACCACAAACGGCTCTCTCCTCGCACCTCTGCGCCTCCGGCCGGGCCACCTCGACAATGACAAACACAAACACTACCACTACCTGTAGCACAGACCTAGCCGAAACACTCACTCCCCCTCCCCCTCCCCCGCCGCCCTGCGCCACCGGCAGCAACAGCAGCAGCAGCAGCAGCACCCCTCGCCCCTACAACCGCTCCTCCCCGCTGAGCTTCGAGCCTCATCCGACGGCGTCCGGGGCCGCGAGGCTCGAGGAGGGGGCCGGCGCGCCGAGCGGGAGCGTGTGCGAGGCGCTGGGGATCGCGGCGATTGGGTATCTGGCGTGGCTGATCGTGATGCTCTAGTTTGGGGGATGGTTGGACCAATCGTGCGCGGGCTCCTGTCTTCTCTTTCGGTGGGGACTGGGCTGGGCTTGTCTTTTGGGGGGTGGGTGCTGGGGGTCGCGTTTGCTTGTCTCTCTCTGTGTCTCTGTCTCTCTCTGTCTGTGTTTGTCTGTGTTTGTCTATGTCCGTGTGCATGTCTCGAACAACATGTCTCACTCTTGTTCCCAGGCCGTGCGTCGTCTCCGATGCGCATTGTGGGCCTCGTCCTTCTTTCAGCGCCGCACAATGGAACAAAAGGGGGCTTTCTCCAGCTACCCGTGAAAGAAGGCCGCGTTTGACGGCAAAGGATATCTCGGTTGGCCCCAGGTTGGGTGTCTTTGTTCTTTGTTCGCTCGACAGACATGTCTTGTTCCGTTGATGGAAGGGTAGGTAGTCCTTGTCTCTAAAAAAAAATAAACATAGTCGTTATAATGGCCCGTGGGACTTCTGCTATCTATCTCTTCTTGATCAGCACTGCATCGAATTTATTTACGAGGAAGAATCTGCTACTGACGGCGAAGCACTCGCAATTTGCTGAAAAAGATAATACTGCGCGACTGAACACACATCGGATTTCCTACTTGGTACTGTCATAGTAGCTCAGTCACAGTCCAGTCACACCCCGTTGACTCAACGCCCAAATATCTGCGTAAGTACACATTTACCGACGACACCAATTATTTTCCCCTAGAGAGTTCGTCGAAGGTGGGCTCAACCTCCATCCTCTGACCCACTCTATCCATCTGGGGTTCCTCCATTTCCAAACCCCCACCATGCCGCCCAAAAGCCCCTCTATCAAAAATCCCTTTACACGGAAATCCGCACACCTCCGCCGCGACACGAACGACACCAAATGGGTCTCCGTTCCCGGCACCACGCCCAACCCAAATACTATCGCCCCTAACCCTACCACTCTGACCAGTGTCCCTAGTCCGCGCTACCCCGTCAACACCATGACGCAACTCCCCACCATGTACGCGGGCAGCCAAACAGCCACCGTATTAGACGCTTCGTCGTCGTCATCATCGTGCCAGCCCTCGCAGCACGACTCTTTGGTCTCTGATAGCGACCTGTTCTCCCCGACATGGAGGTACTCCGACTATGCGCGGAGTCACGCCTTCATATACGATGTTAGTGAGATTCCCGACGTGAATATCCTCGTGCCGGATAGTCCCGAGCGTGCGGCGACAAAGCCACCACAGGGAAAATATGTGGGTTCGGAGACGTATGCGGCGCCGAGGAGGAATCAAGAGTATGAAGAGAGTCCTGTGTTGCCGGCTATGGAGGTGGGGTGGGGACATGTATGGTCTGGAAGGGAGAAGGAAATGAAGAAGGCGGAGGAGGAGAAGAAGAAGGAGAGGAAGAAAGAAGAGGAGGGGAAGAAGAAGGAGAAGAAAGAAGAGGAGGAAAAGAAGAAGAAGGAGAAGAAAGAAGAAGAGGAGCCAATTATCCCCTTTCCGGGATTCGATTATACGTATCCGAACCCTGATAGTGATTCAGAACACGAGCGTACCTATCCAAAATCCCACAAAGCGCAGACCTCAGAAGACCTGCCAGCCACAGCCCGCCGTTACCACTCCAGTAACGAATCCAATGGCATCTTCGACTTGTACGACCGGGCGCGCGAGATCTACCACTCGGGTCCAGAGGGCGAAGGACAGAAGGTTTGGAGCGGAATAAAGAGGCTAAGAAAGAAGAGGAGAGCGAAGAGACAAGCGCATAGACAGCGTGAGAGGTTCGAGGGGACGGCGGTTGAAGAGGCAAAGAAGGAGGAAGGACAACCACCTTCGCCTCCGCTTCCGCCCCCGCCTCCACCGGTGAAGGATCGACCATACCCACGCTTGCCTGAAGAGTCGGAACGGCTGTATCCTCTTTCGCCTGTGGACGAAATTGAAAGTGCGAATAGAGGATTGGAAGCGGCATTCACGCCCAAAGGAAAAGACAAGTTCCAGCGTTCTGCAACCATCCTCACCTTTCCCTCCCTACGCTCTACCGACATCCCAGTTGGCGCCTCCGCATCTGTGCAGTACGATGCTCAAGCTGTCGGCTTCGACATGTCTACACCCGGACCGCGGATCCCGCCCTCGCAGTCCACACTGCGAATGTGTAACAATGTCGACGTGATGAAGAATCTGCCTGCACCGCCGCCGCCGCCACCGGTCCCCGCGAAGCATCATGCTCGGTCTATGCCCCAGGCACTGGGTGTAGATGCCACATTGAAAGCGGCAAGGTATGGAACACTCGAAGATGTGCAGAGCCAGAAACCCAGTAACACTCGCCTGCCGGCTAGAGAACAGAGCAGTGAGCATCTGGAACCCCGTCCTCCACCACAGAAAGCACACAAGGAGGGAAAGTGGCTCAGCACCATTGCACACCTGAAGGTACATAGCAGCCCTTACGAGCACCATACTGAGAAACATCTCACGAAGAGACAGGACAAACTGAAGTCCAAGATCGGCCCGCCGCAGCCCATGATGGCGCCTGCAGGGCGGCTGGTCAACATTGCTGCTGAGAGTGGAGGCATCGGGGGTCCAGCCGCTGCCGTCTCGTTGCCGGTACGTAACGGTGTGTTGATTAATGCCCCACAGAAAAACAAGGCGAAAGAAAAGAAGAAACAAGCCCCCCCACGGCCGGCACCGCCTCCGGAGGGTATGGAGCTGAAGAAGAAGTCGACCAACGGTTGGGTGGGCTGGGGTCCGATAGAAGAGACGAGTAAGTACATTCGTACCCATACTCCCGCGTTTGCAATGCCAAGCAAGCACCGCTCTTCTGACGCTAGTTTTGGGTGTGTTGATGGTTTTCCGAGACCCTGTGCTAAGCCTACTCACCCACCTCGTCCAGGTCCATCGGAATTCCATCCCCCAGTTCAGCCGTCAGCCTATGCTGCGGCGCACGTCGAAGGCGAAGACGAAGACGTGGCTCTGCAGCCGTTGCCCTTGCGGTTGGGAACGAGGGGGGGTGCCCATGATGGGGCGGGACATGGGAACGGGGAGGGCAGGGGAGCGAGCCAAATAAGGAATACCGGGTTCTATCAGCCTTATGATGACGTCTTGCATGAGTATTCCGCTAATTCATGGACAGAGGATAGAGTGGAGAGAACTACAAATAGACGGTGGATTTGAGGCTTGGTGGGGTACGTTTGGGCAAGCTGGGGGGGGGCAAGCTAGGGGAGGCTCCGAGAAGGAAGTGAGTTCCTTCTGGCATGCGTTCTGTGATAACGGGTCGGTGTGGTTCTTTCTTGGGTTCTTTTGTTCTTTTCTTGTACGTACCTGCATTCAAGCGACATGCCTTCAGTGCATTTTCTTACCTATTCCAGCATTTCTGTTGGATGCTGAAGATGAATATTGAAATTGCTAAATATATACAATTTCCTGCAGACGATGAGATGATAAGACCGGTGACAGCATTGTCGTGAGCAGGCCACGAGGCAGCGCAGGTGGGTACCTCCAGGAAGGCTGAAAGTAATATATACACGACCGGGGCTGACGGTGTAAGAGGGAAGCGAGGCCGGATGAGGGTTGAACTGTTTCGAAACGGGTGTGCGGCCCTTGCAGGTGCAGATGCGGGTGTGAGAGAAGGAAGGCCTGGTCTGGGGTAACTAAAATAAATGGCGTACTGTCTATCACGAACGTGGATATGGATGTGAGCCTTGTGGATAGCACTTGGGAGGGCTGGGCGTAAGTCTCGTTCTCGGGGGCGATGATCATGGACCTGCAGGCTCTGCGGGAGGGACGGGCCCTTGCCTGGACGTTGGTGTTGGTGTGGTGAGGTGGTGTGCGGGCGGCGGGGGAGGCAGATTCCTAGGCCTGCCATAGGGTGAAGGCGTCTCTGAGGATGCGACGGGCACGCGACGGTGGAATTGGTGCCCCAGGTGGAGAAAGATTCACGGCAGCCAGCACACAGGCACGGCACCGTCTGATGTGCGCTCTAGCGCAAGGCCGGCGGCCTGGCCCGTCTCGGCTGGTCAGACATGAGCCCAAAAATAGGCGTGTGGGCAGCGGTGGACGGGCAAAGAATCGAGGCTAAATGGCCGAAAGCGACCAGCTGTGGCCACCGGGGGGACGGCGGAGGGCGAGGCGGGCTAATTTGCGGCCATGGGGTTGTTTGGTGTGATTCGAGTGCATCGAGTGCATCGAGTGCATCGAGTGCATCGAGGGCATCGGGTGCAGGGCCGGGCGTGTCGACGTTTGGATTCCTGCCATACATGCCGGGGCCGCCCAGCGCCAAGTGCTGACGGCGAGATGCGGTGGATGCAGTGGATGCAATACAGGATATACAGTGCAGGTGCTATGGCATGCCGATCCAGAGGCCGGCCGCCCATCTACTACAATGGTATGGTGCTCGGGCAGAGGGCCGCTTTATCATGCCACCGCGCGGGCAGTGCTGCCAGGCCGGACGACGACGACGACGACGACGAGGCTCGCGGGCGCGGGCGTGAAACAAACTCGACTCGACGTGGCCAGCCCAGCGCTCGGATGGTGGGGCGGCGGCTCAGGGCAGGCGCGACCCGCCCATCTGTTTGGCTGCCAAACCTTCATGCGGCAGGCACGGCCTAAACATCGTCTGCCCAATCGCACCCCGCCCGGCCCTGTTCGTTCTCCAGAGCGCTTACATTCACTCTCGCCATTGGAGGCCGCCCCGGCCACCCTTGACGCCAGCAAGCCTGGGCGCGTCCTGCTGTCCCGAGAGGCTCGACGCTGGTCGAGGGCCGCTCTCTGTGTGAACATGTTGCGCCCCCCCAGCGTGCGAGCGCAGAAGCAAAAAGCCCCCCCTCCACATCTGCTCGTGCTACCCTCAAGACGACAGCGACGGTGACGGCGACGGCAACGACCACGACGGACTCGACGCCCTCGGCAACCTCGATTGCATCCATACCACGACTGGCTGGCCCGCTGACCGCAGCGATCCACCCCACCCCCCAGCACCTGTCGGTCAGCACGCTCAATAGCAGAGAACGCTGCCTTCTTTGTGCTGAGAGCCGCTGCAGAGCGCCGGTCTGGACGCCCACCTTTGTCTAATCCTTTATTGCCTTCTCCCGGGCGTCTATTTCGGGGCCCCAGCATTGCACCACCACCAACTCCCCTCCTCTGCGCCCATCCACGCTGCTCGTCTGCCCACCGAGCCTATCAGCGCCCGTCCTACCCTCGTGCTGCACCCTCCATTGGCGCCGTACATTTAGTCCTTGGTGAGTACCCGCCAGCCATTGTTCCCTCTCTCTCCACTCGTACCCGTGCTCCCCTCCGTCCAATCCTCGACGCCCTCCTCCAAGCGCCCGACCAGACAAAAGGCCAGCGCCTCGCCCTTCTGGTGCCCTCTCCTTCCCTCTGGCCAGCAGGTCTCCTACTGTAATACTTGTTCTCTGTCGTCTCTTCACTTGCTTCTCATCTCGTGCTGCGA